TTCCCCTCATGGCCGCTCCCCTCCCCCCACCTTCCCCATCCCCATTTTCCCCCCTTTCCGCTGCCCTCACCGCCCTAATTCCCACCTCCCCGCCTTCCCCATCCCTGTTTTCCCCTCACAAATCCCATTTTTTCCCTCACGAATCCCATTTTTCCCCTCACGAATCCCATTTTTCCCAGGGAATTCCGGCTTTTTCCCGCGCTCCCCCCTCACATGGCGGCAGCGGCGGCGTCTCCGACTCAGCGAAAAGAACGCTACGGGGCTTCCCGGCCTCTTATATAGCGAGCAGGGGTTCACTTCCGGTAGCGCACGCGCACTTTACTTGTACGGCGCCGAACTTCCGCCCATCCCGCCCTTACTGCCGCGTGTTTGCGCATGCGCAGTAGCGAGGTTACGGACGCTGCCGCCATGTTTGTTACGGGCATCCGCCTCAAAGGCCGTCGTAGTTCTTTATAAAGGGATAAAAACACGCGTGGGCGGGAAATGGGGGCTTTAGAGGGGTAAAAACACTCGAGGAGGCGACAAAGAGGCGACAAAGAGGCGACAAAGAGGGGATAGAGAGGTCTCCAGGCGACACGCGGAGGGGAAATGGCCGCTCCCGCGTGAACGGGAAGAGGTGGGCACACATGAGACGCGCTGGCCAATCACGGCTCTATAATTTCGTGACGTCAGCTGTTGCTAGGCAGATTTCTGCTGGACGGTTTTGGGGATATTTTGTGGACCTCGAACCCCAAAATATCCCCAAATTCCACCAAAATTCCCCAAAAAAATTCCTTTTTAAATCCCTTCTCAAAATCCCCAATTAATCCCAAAAAAAATCCAACCAAAATCCCCAAAAAAAATCCCAAAAAAACCAACCAAAAATTCCCCAAAGTCCCATAAAAACAACGGAATTTCCCAATAAATCCTCAAAAAAAAAAAAAAAATCCAAATATTTTTATTTATATATATATAATTTTTTATTAAATCCCAACCCAAAAATTCCCAACTCAAAATTCCCAAATTTCCCCTAAAAATCCCCAGAAGATCCCCCCCAAAATATCCAAAAAAAAAATCCCAAAAAATCCCCCAAAATTGTCACCACTTTTATTTTTAGCAATGGGGAAAAATTGGGATTTTTTTTGGGTTTTAATGGGATTTTTAGGGGGAATTTGGGGAGGGATGTGGGGGAATTTTTAGGATTTTTGGGGCTTTTTAGGAAGAATTTTTGAAGGAGATTTGAGGAATTTTTGGCATTTTAAAATGAGATTTTTGTGGATTTTTCAGGGTTTTTTTGAGGAAATTTGGGGGATTTTAGAGCATTTTTTTTTTTTTGGAAAATTTTGGGGTTTTTTAGGGGGGATTTTTGGGGAAAATTTGGAGATTTTTTAAGGGGAATTTTTTTGAATTTTGGGTTTATTTGGGTGGGGTTGGGGGGGATTTGAGGGGGATTTTTGGGGTTTTTTTAATGGAATTTTTTGGGATTTTTTTTCCTTTTTGAGGGGATTTTTTGGGTTTTTTTAAATGGGATTTTTGGGGATTTTTGGGGCTTTTAATGGGATTTTTTGGGGGTTTTTAATGGGATTTTTTGGGATTTTTGGGGGTTTTTTTAATGGGATTTTTGGGGCTTTTTGAGGGGATTTTTTGGGTTTTTTAATGGGATTTGAGAGGGATTTTTGAGGCTTTTTAAGAGGATCTTGGGGTTTTTTAATGGGATTTTTGGGGCCTTTTGTGGGGATTTTTAATGGGATTTTTTAATGGGATTTTTTGGGGTTTTTGAGGAAATTTTTGGGGTTTTTTTAATGGGATTTGAGGGGGATTTTGGGGCTTTTTGAGAGGATTTTGGGGGGTTTTTAATGGGATTTTTTGGGATTTTTGGGGCTTTTTGTGGGTTTTTTTTAAATGGGATTTTTTGGGATTTTTGGGTCTTTTTGAGGGGATTTTTGGGTTTTTTAAATGGGATTTTTGGGGCTTTTTGAGGGGATTTTTGAGCTTTTTACATGGGATTTTTGGGTCTTTTTGAGGGGATTTTTGGGTTTTTTAAATGGGATTTTTTGGGGATTTTTGGGGCTTTTTGAGGGGATTTTTAATAGGATTTTTCATGGGATTTTTGGGTTTTTTAAATGGGATTTTTTTGGGATTTTTGGGGCTTTTTGAGGGGATTTTTGAGCTTTTTAAATGGGATTTTTGGGTCTTTTTGAGGGGATTTTTGGGTTTTTTAAATGGGATTTTTGGGGCTTTTTGAGGGGATTTTTTGGGGGATTTTTTTGTTGTTTTTTAATGGGATTTTTTGGGATTTTGGGGGCTTTTTGTGGGGATTTTTAATAGGATTTTTAATGGGATTTTTGGGTTTTTTAAATGGGATTTTTTGGGGATTTTTGGGGCTTTTTGAGGGGATTTTTAATAGGATTTTTCATGGGATTTTTGGGTTTTTTAAATGGGATTTTTTTGGGATTTTTGGGGCTTTTTTGAGGCTTTTTAAGATAATTTTTTGAGTTTTTTTAAATGGGATTTTTGGGGGATTTTTAACGGGATTTGAGGGAGATTTTTTGGGCAGGATTTGGGTCAAAATTGAGGATTTTTGGGTTTTTTTGGGAT